ATGGTTATTAATCGGTTCATGACTATTGTTACCAATCAGTTCATTTGATTAATAATCAGTTCACTTATTATCAATCTGTTCATATTGATCAGCCGTGAATCTGTTTGGTTCACTGCCTTTTTAAAGCATCTTCCTTTCCCCGTTGAAAGCGTTTCCGGGGCGTTCGTGCACTCAGAATGCATAACTACACAGCATGCGTCTGTGCATGGTACGCATAATTACGCAACGCGTAATTACGCACATGGAGAGCTGAGTGACAAGACATTTTTGGGCAAGCTGCCGCTTCATATGGTGTTCGAATGGACCCAGTGAGGCGAGGACTACATCTGCTTCACCCTTAACCCACTAAGCAACAGCTCTTAATGGGCGACGCCTATACAAAATAGAACATTGGTTACGTACTGTAACCCCAGATTCTATGAGTATAGGCGTAGCCCTTTAAGCGTCGGGCCTCACTGGCTCCTAAATGGCTGAAGAAAAAGCTATTTGGGAGCCGATTACCCGCTCTTAACGTAATTTATACGGACCGGGTGGGCCCACACAACAGGTGGGCATGACTAATTTTTTTCAGTGCGATGCTTTGCATGACGGTAGGGCTGGGTACCTTTCTAAAAAAATTGGTATCGGTACCGGTGTCGGTACCTTCCCTTCGGTGTCGGTTCCTGGACGGTTCTTTTTTCGGTACCAATTTTGTAATTACTATTAATTCTAACAAGAATAAAATTACGTTACACATTACAGTACAAATTGTGACTTTTATTTTTTAACTTGGTATTTTTCTATTCCAAGCAATTTTCTTACATAAAAACAAACAAATAATTTCCAGGTCAAAAGACAGTTACAAACCAGTGACACGTCAGTGTCTAATGCTCACTGCTACACACTGAGGACCTTTTCACTTCACAGTTTTTCTTCAGAAAAATCAACATGTCTTCTTTCTGTGGACACAAACAAGCCCACTCCTGGCTGATGGCGTCTCCAGCAGTAGAAAGTGTTCCCTCTGAGGCTGTAGATGATGCTTGTTGCACATACAGATACCTGGTTGTCAAGTTTGATAGCACTGACATATTGTCCTTCACATTCCACCAGCAGGTCACTGGATTCACTGAGGTAGGGATGATGCAGACATCTGCACCTCTGTGTCTCTGCCTGAATCTTCTGTGATTCTCTGGGGTTTAGGGCTCTGATCATCTCCCTAATTGACATTAGAACAAAACATCAACAATAACATGGTTGTGTTATTATTACTTAAAAAAATATTATCTAGGCTGAGAGATAAAAGCTCAACTGGTCAACAAAATCCTTTACAGTTTATTTACCTCCACCATGAAGCTCCACTGTAGAAAAAGCAGCAAACTTTTAACAACAAAGTCTGACTGTCCTGTGGCCCCCACCTCACTTTTCTTTTGTCCTCACATCAGGGTCAGAGGCTCCTGTGAGGAGAACATTAACATAAACAGTGAACATTAGGTGAACTGTTTAAGCAGCTGACTGGATGGATGAGCAGTTTTACAAGCTAAGATTTATGTTACTGTCAATCTTTAGTTAGCTTCTGAGTTTAGCTAGCCACGTAGCTAAAATAAATTTACACACTAATATCTTAAAGTTAGCGTTACGTGGATCATAGTTTATTTCACCGCGATGTACATGTTAAGCTGCAGTTACGCTAACAAACGTAACTCACCAGCTGAAGCACAGAAACAGAGACGTCCTCGGAGTTCTTTGATGAAGAGCCCGGTCGTGGAGATAATGAATCAGGACGTTCAGGCTCTACTCACAGGCTGACTAATGCTGAGAGGAGGAGGGGGGAGGCTAATGAACTCTTCTCTCCTTGCAGAAAAACACGGAGCAACTTTCTGCTCACGTGTTGTCGAAGCCGTTCGACAACATGCGCTGCGCACGTGAACCCGTCTGAGGGTGTCACCAGCACCATAGACATACATTACAGTATACATAGATTAGGTACGGCAGCTCTATACAGCTCTGGATGTAATCTGGGTGTAGTCTGTTTGTCATATGTCTGGTGTTTTGCCTGCCTGCATGCTGAAACCACATGACACGTTACAGCCAATACCGAAACTTGACACCGAAAGAAGAGTGACGTTTCAATACATACACCGACCGGTGCAGTTCGGTCGGTGCCATAAAAGAACCTCGGTTCGGTACTCAGCCCTACATGATGGGATAAAACCCACTAAGCGACAGCTCTTAAAGGGCTACAACTATACTCATAGAATCTGGGGTTACAGTACGTAACCAACGTTTACTCCCAGAGTCTTGCAGGTGATAAACATCAAGTACGAGTTGAGACATTTCTTTAGACTGGGATAGTTCAACCAATTTGAAGTGGTGTTCATAGAAAAGCTTATGAAAAATTATCTTACCTGCTGTAGATACTTTTTTTTTTAACAAATTGGAGAAACTGTTTATTTCTGACAGGACAGATGAGTTGATGGCTAGTCCAAATGAGACCATAGTGACCGTTTCATAACCCTAATGTACATTTTACAGATTTCTCGGGTTATTTACAAGCAAAAACAGCTGCAGCAGCAGCTAGCTGTAGCAGTTCCAGGACACTTGGGGCTCTAAACTTTCTACCAAAAATAAAAACATGTACTGTAATTGCTGGTATTCAAGCCAATAGGGGTGTAAATCACCAGCTTTACCACGATATGATATTATATTGATTTGTTTGTATGACAATACCATTTTTCTCAATATCACAAAGTCTGTCACGATACAGTTTCGATTCTATTCGAATCACAAGTCTGCGATCAATATATTGCGATATCAAATGCCCATCTAATTTACATATAAATAAATATACACAAAAAATTCAAATATGATTTAACCATTTTATTTCTGTTATTACAGGCACCAGGCATTTAAATAAAGAAACATTTGTCAGCGCGTGGTGAAATGGTCGCGTATAGCAGGTGGAGTATGGCAAGCCATGCTGGCATATAATTGGATCATCAGCCGTGCATGTCCCTGATGCAATAACAAGCCAGACACCAACTCGAATATTAAGCACATTGTTATGGCCTGGCCCGAATCCGGGTCGGACCGGGCTCCGGGATAGAAACAACAGCTCTCCGGTGGCTGGTTCTTGTACTACAACAAGAAAGCTGCACATCATGTCGGAGCTGGTTGGGCACAGTTCCTGATGATGAACGGTGGATGCCCGTGGCTAAATAACTGGAGCGTCTTATTTATGTACGGTGTAGAGACAGGTGTATTCTGCAGTCCGAGGATTACAGTATATGAAATAGATGGCGGAGTAAAGATTTAAATATTAGAGTTTGCATAAAGAGCGGTGAAAGTTTTATAAATGTCTATAAAGCTATTTTTGGGAAATTGTTTTGTAGCTCGTCGATACGATTCAAGCGGAGCCACTTCTAAAGAGGAGATCTGCCTAAACCAGCTCGACTTTTCAACATTTCACTGCAGTCACTTTCACTTTACACGGCTATTTCAGCAAAAATACAAGGACATTCCTGCCGGATGTGCACCGGAAGTGCTACAGCTAGCTGCTGCTGCTTTCCTCATAACAGTTCTGTGAAGTGAGCACGTAACGTGAAACTGACTGTTTTGTTTAAGAATGCCAGGACTCGAAAGAGAATCGGCACAATGATCAAAAATACTCTCAAACAAAGCGCTATCAACTGATACGGGGACTTGCTCCATCCCGGCACAACTTCTTCTTTGACAACATTTTCACTTGTTTTCAAACAAAGCGCTATCAACTAGGGCATTAACAGAGTACTCGAGTAATCTACACATCGATTGCTAGGACATCTATCGAGGTTAAAAATGTAACGTCGAGTAGCCGTAGTGACGTCATATTATGTGACCACCGTATGACCGTAGGGGGCGGTGTTGCACTGTTGCAGGTCACAGAGTATGGTGTAACACCAGGTCCAATCCACAGAACCAGAACCAGCTTCCTCTGACCTTGCTTCACAAACAAAAAGCAAAAAATATTAATCTCTAAACCTATTAAAAAAATCTATAAACATATTAATCTCTAAAATTAAACTTAATGCGCACCACAGCTGGCGGTGGTGCGGGGTGGTCGCCCCCCTCCCCCCCCCCCGTTAAGTTTTGTTTTTGACGTGCTGCATGTTTCTTCACGTTTGCAGTTTAATAATAATAAATAATAGTTTAGTTTTTCCTGTGACTTATTTGCAGTATGATAAATGGTAGGAGCATAATATACAATGTTTTGATGGTCTTTTTGTAAATAATTACCTTTTTTTGTGGTTTTATTTATTTATTTATTTTTGTATCTTGAGATCTATGACGTCATCAAATACAGTTTCTTAAAAATTTAACCCTTTCTCTAAACTGGTCATTCAAAACACTATCTACAACAGGTTAGATGTTGTTTATAACTTCTACACATTCAAAATATGCCTTCAAATTTAATTCTTTACATTATTTGCTTGAATAAAAATGGGGAGTGGTGGCGCAAGGTGAGACTATGATCGGAAGATCACCGGTTCAACTCCCGGTACCGACAACATCAAAATGTAGGTGGGATAGGTGAAACACCCACACCTGTCTCCACTCTTATTTGCCCTATTCTGGGCCCTTGAGCAAGGCTCTTAACCCCCACCATCTGTTCCCCTGGATGCCCTAGACAGCAGCTCTCTGCTCCACACAGAGGGCTGTGGTAGCTCGGTGGTCTGTGGTTGTGTCAGGAAGGACATCCAGAGTAAAAACAATCACCAAGACTTCGCGTGACTTAGTTCGCTGTGGCGACCCCTGAAGGAGGGAGCAGCCGAAATAAAAAAAGGTAAAGAAAACTGAGAAGTCGTAAAGTGTGTGTGTGTGTACATTTTGGCAGAGATTCATGGTTTCAAGTCTCGGCCACATGAATTTATTTATTTTTGGTAGTTGAAGTTTTGTCAAACCTAAAGTTAAAGCCCATCTTTGAGCAAACAAGCAGCGTGTCCAGCTTTGTCTGGAACTGCTCCTCAGACTGCAGCAGGACTTACCTCTGCATGAGGGAAAGGAGGCTCAGGAAGATACACCTTCGTCTGTTTATTATGACAAAGCCTAAGAAGGTATAGACAAAAAAGAAAAATGACAACTCTGATCACAGTTTTCCATGGTGGCAACTGGACTACAGGACAGAAGCTTAGGACTTCTCACCACTCTGCAAAGATCTGAGAGAACTCCAGCGAGCTGTTGGCTACAGGTGAGATGAAGTAGAAGGGCGTGGTGCCCAGGCTGGCGCTCTCGATGAACTGATACAGACACTCCAGCAGGTCGTAGATCACCCCTGAGGAGTAACACGGCACCAACACGTTGCCTCCTGCTCGTATCGTCATGGCTGCACATAAACCAGAAAATGACAATCAGTGAACGTGGATCAACGTGTGGAGAAGAGTGTACTTGGAACGTCTCCACCCACCCAGGTTGCTGCAGAACTCTCCCAGCATGCCGTCTGGGTTAGCAGTGGGGATCTGTGTGAGGCCTGTCAGGATGAGAACATCGCTGTTCTTCAGCGAGCTCTGATCCATCGGCTGGGAGGAAAAAGACAAGAATTTAATGGAACCTGGAACCTGAACAGAACCTGTTGGAGCTCGCCATCAACTTTGTGAGAATGCATGTGAACAGAGCTGCTACCTGTGGGTGTGTGGTGAGGAGGGACGAACCGGACACGTAGGACACCTTCTCATGATACGACTGGATGATCCAGTTGGAGCTGCCCAACGAGTAACCCGAGCTCAACGGGGAGACCTGTACGGCTCCAAACAGCTCCTGAAGAACACGTGGATTCATTGTGAAGAGAACATGTGGAGCAGAGGTCCTCAGGGGCCACTGCTCCACATGTTAGCAGGTCTTCAACCCCTGCAGAAGCTGCCATCCATTCATCCATTCAGGTCAAGGTGTGCTCAAGCAGTGAAACATCTAAATATGCAGGGCGGTGGCCCCCGAGGGCCCCCGACCGACGCAGGGCGGTAGCCAGACATGAGTCTGTGCCGTTTTCAGCTTTCCACATTTATCTCCAGCTGAAAACATCTGAACTCAAACTTTTTTCCCATTAGAACCATGTGAGATGTGCACGTTGTAAGCCGTGCACATCAGTTTGTCAGCGGAGGAACCACCAACAGTGCCAAAACATCTGGTAACAAAGTTGTCCTCACCACTTTCTGAGAATAACCCACAAGCTGCACTCTGCTGAGGGCTGAGTTGACCTCCTGCAGACTGTAGCATCGTCTCCACGTGCACACGTCCAGCGCGTCCTTCAGCGAGCCCGGCAGCAGCCTGGGACAACAAACATGTCAAATTGTGTTGGACGGGAAAACAAAGATACAATGTAACAATAAAGTTATTTTGAAACGATGGACTGAGTATGTTTGGGACACAATCAAGTTCAGAACTCTACAAAAATAAAAACTTGGCACCACAGATTAAAAAGAAACCTCAGTCAGTAAAGATTTCAGACTGTGACAACATTTGACATTTCACCAGCTGAATGTTTTCCAGTCTCCTAGTTCAAAACAGTTTTTGCTGCAGTGACTCGGTTTCTGAGGTGAGGAGGAGAAACTGTGACGCCCTGACGCTTCGAAAGTGAAAACTTCCATTAACGTTTGGACATTTCACTTATTTCTAAATGTTTTTTTCTGGTTTTATGAAGGTGAATGAAGAAACTGGACTCATTATGTGGGCGGCACGATGGCTCAGTGGGCAGAGCTGTTGCCTCTCAGGTCGCAGATCAAAATCCCAGTCCAGGGGCCTTTCTGGGTGGAGTCTGCATGCTCTCTCTGTGTGTTTTCTCCGGGTACTCCGGTTTCCTCCCACAGACCAAAAGCATGCATGTTAGACTGACTGGTAACTCTAAATTGTTCCTAGGTGAGAGAGTGAATGGTTGTTTGTCTAGTTTGTCTCTATGTGTCCCTGTGATGGACTTGGACCTGTCCAGGTGTCCCCTGCCTCTTGCACAGTGACTGCTAGATATGGGCTCCAGTGTCCCAGACAGGTAGAAGTGAGTAAAGATGATGGATGGACTGACCAACCTCTGTATCTCCTTGTTCTTCCAGCAGGTGGCAGACTGGGCTTTAGGAACCCTCTCCATGAAGTTCACCAGCTCCTCCATCAGCAGTCTGAGGAAACAAAGTGTAATCTGAGATCAAGGAGGACAGATTGAAAGTTATAGATCTTCTAAATCAAAAGTTCAAAGGATGCAAACTATTAAATCAACCATTTATTCACAGAGCCTTTTACAGCAACCAGGATGTGCTCGAAAGTAACTAATGATATTCTCATGGCCTCAGACAATGGACTTGTGTCTCTACTGGTCCTGTTAGACCTCAGTGCTGCATTTGATACAGTTGATCACAATATTTTACTACAGAGGCTTGAATATGATATTGGGATTACAGGAACAGCTCTAAAATGGTTTAAATCATATCTATCTGCCAAATTCCAGTTTGTAAATATAAAATAATAAATCTTCTTCACACACCAAAGTTAGTCATGGAGTTCCTCAGGGTTCAGTGCTTAGACAAATACTCTTTATTTTGTATATGCTTCCATTAGGTAAAGTTATTAAACAGCATGGGATAAATTTTCATTGTTATGCTGATGACACACAATTATATTTGTCCATTAAACCCCATGAATCCAATCAGCTACTTAGACTACAAGCATGTCTTAAAGACATAAAAACCTGGATGACCCTTAATTTTCTCCTGTTGAACACAGACAAAACTGAGGTTTTGGTTTTTGGACCTGAGCACCTTAGGAATTAATTTTTCAGTGTTTCTCCCTCCTTAGATGCATTAATCTGTCCTCCAGCTCTAATGTTAAAAATCTTGGTGTTATTTTTGATCAGGACATGTCTTTTAACCCCCACATTAAAAACGTTACTAGAACTGCCTTCTTCCATCTGCGTAATATCACTAACATTAGAAACATCTGATCTAAAGATGATGCAGAAAAACTGGTCCATGCATTTGTCACATCTAGACTGGACTATTGCAATGGTTTATTATCTGGGTGTCCAAATACTTCTTTAAAATGTCTTCAGTTGATCCAAAATGCTGCTGCCAGAGTCTTAACTGGAGTTAGTGGGAGAGATCATATTTCTCCAGTTTTAGCTTCTCTCCATTGACTCCCTGTCAAATCCAGAATAGAATTCAAAATCTTACAGGTGTATTCGCTGATCTTTTGAGTGATCATTGTGTGACAGCTGCTTTGAGAGATATTAAACTTCCACCTTCTAAGCCCAGATTAATTAAAAAAAGGGATCTGAAACATTTTTGTGAACAGTCATTCCTCTGGGATCTGTCTCACTTTGACTGGCATCGTATTCTGTTAAATGATGACGTGAACTCTGCTTGGAACCATTTCCATAATAATTTCATTTATTTCCTGAACTTACATGCTCCTTTTCGTCAGTTCAGAATAAAGGGACGAGACAGCCCCTGGTTTACTCCAGAGCTAGCTGATCTCCTGCACAGGAGAGATCATCTTTGGGCTGCAGCGAGAAAATCTGACTCAGACACTGATTGGTTGAGTTTTCGACAGATGAGGAATAAATGTACAACTGCTGTCAAAGCAGCAAAACGCAACTATTTCTTATCTCAGACCTCCAAACATCTAAATGACCCTAACAGATTCTGGAAAACTATCAAATCTCTCTCAGACACCCCCCAATCATCTGACCTCCCATCACAACTTCTCGTTAACTCTGTTCCTGTGTCAAATAAGCACGAGATCCTGAACTGTCTCAACAAACATTTTGTTGCTTCTGGTTCTTTATTTGACACAGTTACTAATGGAAGATCAGCCACTTCACTTAATAACCAAACTTCTACACATCAAATCCCTCCTACAAGTCAATCCTCAGTTAATCACAGCTTCTCTTTTTCTCCATTCTCAGTCAGTGAGGTCAATAAACTGTTAAAAGATCTTGATCCTAAAAAATCTGCAGGTCCAGATGAACTTCCACCTTATTTCTTAAGGCTGGCTGCTCATATCATCACAGTCCCTGTGACCCACATCTTCAATCTCTCCATAAGACAAAACTCTATCCCAGACACTTGGAAAACAGCCTTTGTTCTTCCTTTGCTGGAGGGAGGTGACCCCACCTCACTGAACAACTATCAACCAATCTCTAAACTCTGCATTTTAGCCAAGGTTCTAGAAAAACTGATAAACTGTCAAATCAAAAATTACCTGGACTCATTTAACATCTTACCTCCACATCAATCTGGTTTCAGGAAACAACACAGCACAACCACTGCTTCTCTGAAGGTTCTTAATGACGTTGTTGAAGCACTGGATGCTAAGGATTATTGTGCTGCACTTTTCTTAGACCTGTCTAAAGCTTTTGACACTGTGGATCAGAACATCTTGTGTCATAAACTCTCAGAAATTGGTTTCTCAGATCACACCATTGGTTGGTTCTCTAACTATCTTTCAGACCGGAGGCAATGTGTTCAACATAATGGTACTTCCTCCAGTTATTTAACATTCAACAATGGTGTACCACAAGGCTCAGTCTTAGGACCCACCCTCTTTACAATCTACATACATAATGTAGGTAAAAACATCCCTAATGCATCCATACATTTCTATGCTGACGACACAGTTGTTTAATGTCGAGCTAAAACTGTTGCTAAGGCTTTCCAGCTTTTGAAATCTGCATTTAACATCATCCAGACTGATTTGTTTCACCTCAAACTTGTCCTAAATGCTGAAAAAAACAAAGGGATGCTTTTTTCAAATAGGAAGTTGGTCCCAGCAGTTCTTCCTCTGATTTTATCCTCAAATGGTGTCCCCATTGAGTTTGTTGATTCCTATAAATATTTGGGTATCTTGGTCGACTCACATCTTTCTTTTAAGCTCCATGTGGAAAACTTGGTAAAGAAACTGAAAGTTAAACTGGGTTTCTTTTTCAGAAACAGATCCTGTCTAACTCTGAATGCTAGAAAACGCCTTGTATCTGTGACTTTCCTTTCCTCAATTGATTATGGTGATATTATTTACATGAGCGCTCCTACAAGAACCCTGCAGATGTTGGATGCTGTCTATCATGGTGCACTAAGATTCATAACTGGCTGTGATTATCGTACCCACCACTGCACCCAGTATTCACTGGTTAACTGGTCACCATTAACTTCACACAGACTCTCTCACTGGTATATTTTCATCTTTAAATCACTTCTTGGTCTGCTGCCTTCATACATCTCCTCCTACATGTCTCTGCGTGAGTGCAGCTACAGCGTGCGCTCTCAAGACATTATTACCTGCAGTGTTCCCTCAATGAGGACTGAAGTAGGCAAAAGGGCCTTCTCCTACTCCGCTCCTGTTTCCTGGAATATCTTACAAAAAGATTTGAAGCTCTCGACCTTGACCTCTCTAAGTGTCTTTAAGAATCTGTTGGACTCCTGGCAGGGTCCAATGCCGACATGTTCCTGTTGTTAGTTTTCTACATTTGTCTTGGAATCTAGCTGTTTTTTTGTTGTTGTTGTTGTTTTGTTACCTTTTCCTTTTAGCCATCCTATTTGTTAAAAAAAAAAAGAAAAAAAAAACTGTAGTATGCTTTTTTTTTTTTATATAACTGTTTATTGTTGTTGCTGTTGTCCATTGTTGTCATCTTTCTTTGTTGAAATCAGGTCTCA